AAAATAAATTAAAATAAAGTAAAATATTTCTGATAAACAACCAACACGTGTATAAATAGTAGAAACAGGTTTCAGTGCTAAAGAACAAATGAAGTTTTAGATCTGCAGTAAAAACAGGAAGTTGCTGAGTAGACGGTGAAGAACGAGCACCATGAATATTTCTGAGGTTTTAACAATAAGATAAAGTTTCACCCTTATAACATTTTATAATTATAAACGTATAAAATGTTTCATTAAGGGAAGACGCGCTGAATCTGCGGTGCAGGCGCTACTACCAACTACCAAACAGCAGACCTTCAGAATAAAAGCACAGGCGTGTCTGACCGCTCCTCTCTTGGTGTGTCCGCGTTCAGGTGAACAGCTCCTGCCTGGAGGAGGTGAGCCACGAACACGCCGTCACTGCCTTGAAAAACACTCCCGACGTGGTCTACTTGAAAGTGGCTAAACCCAACAGTGTCTTCATGAACGACAGCTTCGCTCCGCCCGACCTCACCAACTGTGAGTGCAAACACACACACCTGTGACCTCACCACTAAAGTTTGCTTCTGTGTTTGCAGCTGAAGAGAGAAACGTTTTGATGCTGCGATCGCGTTTCAGTTTGTTCTGGATTCAGGCTTCCAGAAACAGTTGGAAAACCCATAGTTGAAAACTTCCCTGGACTTTTTATCCTGAATTGTTTTCCGTTTTAAGATCTTCCAGATAAATGAGGTCTCGCATAAATCAGCTGACCTGGTTTTGAGTTAAAGGTTTCCCTGTGTGAGTGTCGGTTTTCTGGAGCTGAAGGCTTGTTGGTTTGTCTTGAACGCTGCGGTGGATTTTTGCTCTGACATCGAGCAGATTAGAAGGTCCCGGCTCATGTGGTCAGGATGACATCCGACCCTGAGCCGGTGTGGACCGCCGCAGTCTCTGATGATCAAGTGGGGCGGGGATTCGTCAAACGACACGCCTCAAAGTGCAGACGAGGCCGGTTCCTTTAAAACATTTCTCTCTGAACCGGCAGCTTTAGCAGGGATGAAGACGGCCCAGCTCTGAACCTTGTTTTTAGATCTCTCACTTCGCTGCAAATTACAGGAAGCGCTCTGAAACTGTAATACTGCAGGACAAACCTGCATCCCGGAGGCTCGCAGCTGGCACCGAGCTGTTGAGGAGATGCCAAAGAAGGAAACACCCCTCAGAGATGCTGCGCGTCAGGCTCCTCGGCTATAGAGACCGAGGAGCTCCAAGCAGCTGTGGAGGATCCGGAGCCGAGGAGAGACTGATGGGAACGCACAGGAAGACACGGAGGCTGCAGGAAGTGTTGCACGTTATAATCTGAGTAATCATCATGAGTTGACATCCTTAAATCTAACACAGACTCTGAGCCGAGCAGGCTGGTGCTGGTTTGAAGCCAAACGAGGAACGAGCACAAAATATCCGATCCCGAGTCGCGGAAGAACGATGTTTGGCAGCTCGGCTCTCACAAACGCCACCAGGTGCCTCAACTCATCCATGTGAAACACAGACTCCCTAAAACCGAGTGCTGACAGCTATGATTATATCTGAAGTTTGGGCCACAGTCGATCAGCTGTTCAGCTTCTGAGTTTGTGTCTAAACCGAGTCGTGGACCAACGACGCCCTTCGTCTCCTGCAGTGGCAGTAAAACCATCGCTCTGTTAATTATGCAGGGACGTTATTTGTTTAACCTCCTGAAGTCTCCGGGGGAGTGTCCTGTTCGTGGAGAGAACAGTTTCCGATCAGACGAACATCAAACTTTCAAATGTTTTTAAAAATGGAGACGAATGGAAACTATTTTCAGGTTTCATCCTCTCGGTGCTGCTGTCACAGATCATAATAAACTGACTGCGTGTTCGTCGTCTCTGTCATCGCTCTGATGCTGCGGTTACAGCTGATCCTCAGCAGAAACGTGACAGGCTTGAGTTGGGAGGTGGTTGTTTCTCGCTCACCGGTGTCGTTTACGACCCCCCTCGACGGCTGCCGGCCTCGGCCAATCAGGTGGTTACAGGAGCCGGACAGGCGAGCAGATGCAGCAGCTCAGCGTCAGACACACAGCGGCTGTGATCAGACTGGTTTTAATGGTCTTCTCTCTTTCTCTTCCAGCGTACTCCCAGCGCATGGAGAACCATATCAGCCCCCCCAACTTCCTGGGTCAGCCCGTCCCTCCGCCAGCATCCTCGGGGCGTTACTCCCCGACCCCGAAGAGCACGCTGGGAGACGACGACGTCACCCGGTGAGAACAGAAACGCTGCACGCGCACGCCTGCACTGAAACGTTTCAGTGTTTTTGTAGCTGAACCACAGCTGCTGCGCCCTCTGCTGGTGCACACCTGCAGTTACACCCTCCACCCTCCCGTCATAACACACACCTGCAGAGTCTGAGGGGGACCCTGCTCACATGACTTCAGATGATTGACGGCTGCAGTGTTTTTTCCTGCAGGGAGCCGAGGAAGGTGGTGCTTCACAGAGGAGCGACGGGACTAGGCTTCAACATCGTGGGCGGGGAGGACGGCGAGGGGATCTTCATCTCCTTCATCCTCGCCGGAGGACCTGCTGACCTCAGCGGAGAGCTGAGGAAAGGAGACCGACTCGTCTCCGTACGTAACAACGCGTTAAACTCTGAGATCAACAACTTAAACCAGAGTGTCTGTCTGAGTCAGTGATGAGTCGCTGCCAGTCGCTCGCCACACGCAGGCAAACACGCTGTTGACTTTCAAATTAAAAGCTGCACCTTTAGAGAAGTGCTGGATCAGACTGAGCCGCTCGTTTCCCCGATTGAGTCGTTGTTCCGCGTCTGACATTGTTTTTGTGTTTTCAGGTGAACGGCGTGGACCTCCGTAACGCCACCCACGAACAGGCGGCCGCCGCCCTGAAGAACGCCGGGCAGACAGTGACCATCGTCGCCCACTACAGACCAGAAGGTGGGACAGCAGCACGCACCTGCAGGATCACATGACTCCAGCAGCAGCTTAAATAAAAATAACTACATTTAAGTATATTTACAGTCGGGTGTGAGCAGGAAAGGGAACAAATCCTCTGCATTTAGCAGCTGGTATCAGAATATTTGGCCGTTTGATTATTTTCACTTTAAAATGATTGATTATTAATCCAGCTGTTCACAGATGTTTCAGCTCTGATCTCTGTGGGAAACTGAAACCAGCAGTCATCTCTGATTTTACCAGAGAAACAGTCCAGTTTAAAAAGTTTCAGATTCTGTTTGGCTTCATAAAAATCTTCTGTAGAGACTCTAACGTGTTTCTGTAATTTCCTGTGACCTCTGACCCCTGGGTGACCTCTGTGTCCGCTCAGAGTACAGCCGGTTTGAGGCAAAGATCCACGACCTGAGGGAGCAGATGATGAACAGCAGCATCAGCTCGGGCTCTGGGTCTCTGCGGACGAGTCAGAAGAGGTCGTTGTACGTCAGGTAGGCCTAAAGCGTGGAAGGCGCTCGCGTGCTGACGTCCTGTGTTGTTTTTAATCGGTTTGTTTGTCGTTCGTGTTTTAGAGCTCTGTTCGACTACGATAAGACGAGAGACTCCGGTCTGCCGAGTCAGGGCCTGAACTTTAAGTTCGGAGACATCCTTCACGTGGTGAACGCCTCCGACGACGAGTGGTGGCAGGCGAGGCAGCTGACGGCACAGGGAGAGGTGGAGGAGGTGGGGGTCATCCCCAGCAAGAGACGGTCAGTCCCAGTTACATCTGCTCCACCAATCAGGATTCAGAGCTCGGCTCACAGCTCGAGAGGACGTTTGGCTGGAGTTTGTAACTTTATTTAAACAAACATCCGGGTCGCACCTGTACAGGTGTCACTGCGACGAACGAGAGCTTCACAGTGACGCTCTGAACATTTACCAGGTGACCTCCGAGGGTAGAGGCAGAGTTAGACTGTAAGGTCAGGATGTCGTCAGAGACTCGAAAAGCAAAACCTTCCAGTTTCTGGAGGAACGCTCGCGGAGTGGCGGCAAGCTGCCAACTCACTCGATTTGCCCTCGAGCTCTGAGGCGGAGCTCATCCCGAGTATCTGACAGATTCATGCATAAAGTCTGGTTCCCTTGTGATCTCTGCTGACCTTTGACCTTTCCCACAGGGTGGAGAAGAAGGAGAGGGCGAGGTTAAAGACGGTGAAGTTTAACGCCAAGTCTCGGGACAGAGGGGTGAGTGACGGCGTAGACGGTCCCTGGAGTCAGAAACGTGTTTTAGTTCCAGTAACGCGACTTTATTTACACACAAAGACGTTTTTCTGTTCTTTGTATTTAAGCTGTAAAACATTTTTTATTGCTTTTATTGTCTGTTTGATTTCTGCGTCTTTTAAAGATGCTCAGTTTTCCAGACTCGACCTGATAGAACGAGTCGGACTTGTTTAGACTTCAGTGACTCGTCCCATCTGATGCTCTCAGGATCAGCCGACTTTATTTTCCCCGCAGTGACGTGTAGCGTGCAGGTTAGTGAAGCCATGCGCGGTGTTACCTTCGTACAGGCGGTTGAAGTGCACGCGTGTTTGGGCCGTTGTGACAGACTTCAGTCTGTTAGCTAACGACTCGGTTTTAGGGTTTTCATCAGTTACCGGACGTTACTGGATAAGTCCGTCTGCGCCGCCCGCCTTTTTTGAAACCCGGCAGTGAGGGAAATGGCTGCCCGCGGCGCCCGCCACCTCGAGTGTGACGGGTGCTTGTTTTTCTGACCTTCCCCGAGCGTCGGCGTGTCGCACTTTAAACTGCACCAGATTCATTCGTGTGAAGGTGAAACGTGTTTGAATAAAGTCGGCTGATTCTGAGCTGGTTGATGACACGTTTCAGGTGTTTGACGCCAGCTGTGTGCATCATGTGACCTCTGTGTGTTTGCGCCAACGCCACCTGATCTCCACCTACTAATGAGTGTTTGACTAATGTTGAAGCAGCCGGCCGTTTAACAGCATGACGATCTCTGAGGCGTTTCTTCTTCTTCACCAAATCGCAGCAGCGCCTCCCCCTCCCTCCCCCGCCACCTTTAAACCGTGTGCCGCTTTAATACGTGTCGCCACGGCGTTGCTCGCCAGCCGCCACGCTAACACGGCAGACTGAGGGCGGGGAGGCAAACCGTAGAACATGCATGGTGCCCGCGGTCTGCTCCCCGCCTCTTCGCGAAACGCTTGACATTGACGTCTGCTGCTCTCAAACCTTCCTCCTCCTCCTCCTCCTCCTCCTCCTCCTCCTCACCACTCACCCTCCTCACCCTGTTTTCCGTCTCCTGCTCTGTAACATCAAAGTGCAGCATGTGAGCTAATGATGTCACAGGTCCCGCCTCCTGCTGATGAACGACACGCAGCGGTTCAAATGTCTGCTTGTTCTTCTCGTTGAGCCATTAAACCCATTTATAGTTGAACTAATCAATAACTTGAACACAGACCTTTTTAGGCCCTTTCAGCTCCTGGTTTTGGTTTTGTGTCATCGCACAAGCTTGAATGAACCCACTGAGACCAAGCTGTTACCATAGTAACAGACGGTTAAAAGAAAAGGGACACGACTCTGTTCTGTGTTTGGCTTCTATACATAAATGTAGGTTTAGCGTTCGTAGCCTCAACTAATCAATATTTGCAGCCATGAGGTGGTGGAGACCAACAATGGAGCTGAAAGAAGGTGGATGCCGGACTCAGACTGCAGCTGCCGGCGCTTTTTAAATAAACCTAATATTTGTTGGTTGGTTGCCATGACATCAGCCGATATCATTTTGTTATAGCCTCACATCTGGATGAGTTTATTTTAAATATCAGTGTTAACCCCACAGTAACCTTTACAGCCTGACTGGTGACGTCACGCTTTCATTTACACTTCAAGACAAACGAAATGCAAAAGCTTGAAGCTAAATTTAAGCTTCAGAAGTCCAAATGAAGAAACCACGTAAAGCTGAGAAGGCCTCTGAGCCCGACCCACGGGACGTTTGTAGCACCAGTGTTTCCTCAGTGCTACACGAAGGAACATAAATGCTCTGTGGAACGACTTTTCCTGATGCACTTGAAGGCATCGCATCAGCACCATCTTCGAGCCGATTCGCCGAAATAACCAAACGGCTTCTCCCAGCTTGTCGCTGCTGTGTCTCTGCATGTCGTCAGCATGTTCACCTTCATCCTCCTCCTCCTCTCCGACCGACGCTGCCTTCACTGTCGGCGTGTGAAGCGGGGCGTCAGAGCAGGTTGCGTTCAGGGTCGGGGCCTCTGTGTCCGAGTGTTTCAGTTTAAACTTCGTGATTTTTGTGTTTAATGTTGAAACTGTGAGCCGGTCAGACGCAGACTCAGACACCCATCACACCCCCTCATCTCCCTCTCTTCCTCCTCTGTTTTTGTTTTACTCCATCACCCCTCCTCCTCCTCTTCCTCAGCAGTCTCTCAATGACAAGCGTAAAAAGAACCTCTTTTCCCGAAAGTTTCCGTTCTACAAGAGCAAAGAGGCGAGCGAGCAGGAGACCAGCGATGTCGACCGTAAGTACAAGCGCGGGGAGGCGGGCGGTCTGAAAGGAGGTTGGCCGGCGACAGGAAGAGAGATCAGGTGGCGACGGCGTGCTGAGCGCGCGCTGGTCGTCACCGCTGCAGGGCGTGGCCGCGCTCGTGCGATCTGATTAGAAGCCGTTTCTAAAACCTGAAACCAGAGCCAACATGGCCGCCCTGCAGCGGCGCCCCGGCGGCGTTCCCTCTGCTCTCTCAGTCTGTCGCTCTGTCAGTAACTGTGTCTGTGGTTGTTTTCCCTCCTTCCTTCACTCGGCTCTGCTGCTGCAGGACAACAGCGAGGACGTGCTGTCCAAAGGACACAGTAAGTCTCTCCCCAACACCCCCTCCCCCAAAACTCCCATCAGCCTCTTCGGTCTCCACCAGCGTCCTCCGGAGAGCTCCACTAAATAACCAGAGCGTACAGACGCCGCTCGCTCTACAAGCGAGTTTATGAGTTGTGAGCACGAGCATCCTTCCATCCTAAAACCTCTGGGGGCGGAGCTTTACGCCGCCCGATTTGTATTCGAGGTTTATTCTACTGGTTGTTTGTTTTGAATTAAAAGCAGCTTCGTGTTTTAGAGCAGACGACTTTATTTTGTTTGTTTTGTGAAGTAAAATCAGACGAAGCATCAACGACTCCTGATCAGCCTTTGATCAAAGTGATTATTCAGATTTTAAATGATGTTCATAAAACTGCATATGGGACCAAAACGATCAAATAAAACTCAGAAAACCACAAAAACCAGTCAAACACGTAACAGAGAACCAGCAGGTTCAAAGTTCCCGACTGACAGGAGCTCTGATCCGGATCAGTTTGTTATATTTCATCCAGAACATGAAGATAAAATCTCAGTTTTTCTTATGTCAGTGTGTCGAGTGTCAGTGAAGGCTGCTGTCGGCAGGCCCGGGTCAGCGCGTTTAGTTTTAATGCCGTAAAAGACGCTAAACTGAAGAGTCTGATGATGGTTCCTGGTGGAGTCTGAGACCCCTCCCCCTCCTCTTCCTCACCACAGACCCTCGTGGATCCTTCAGGCCGGCGCTCTTCACTCTGGCCACGAGTTTCCGCTCTTCATCTCTCACGAGACCTTTGTTTTTCTGTTTCATGGCAAACGTGTACAAGTTACAGGAAGCTCTAAAAGCTGAACACGGCGACCGACACGAGCAGATCTGAAGCCGAGCCGCTCGCTCAGTCATCGGGAAATAAACCCGCCCACAAACACGGCTGATCGATAAACCAGGGAACATTTTTAGTTTTGGTTAAATTACAGTTTAAAATGTGTGTATTCAGGTCTTGGTGGTGTTTCCAGATGTTTCCAGATGTTTGTCCAGCTGACGATCTAAAGAAAACGTTTAATATCCCAGAAAAAATCTGATTTTATTTTCTTATCTGAATATGATCATCAGCGAGCTGAAAACACAGACTGTATATAAAGGAAGGAAGCGTCTTAAAGCTGCGTTCTTTTTAATGGCCAGCAGGGGGCGATGCTGTCCTGGTGAGTTTGTGGTCTCAGTCTTTAGTTTTAAGTCTTACTGAGTTAAAAACGTGATATTTATTTAGTTAATTTTGGTCTAATTAAAATGTTTAAAAGGTGATGGAGGGGAAGTCGCTGCCCACTGAGTGCGCCGTGTCCCTCAGTTCCCTCCCTGGTTCAGCCTAAATCGCTCTGCTCGAAGCAAACGGATGATGTCACGGTGGCTGCTTCCATCGTTTATATACAGTCTGGTTTTATCCACATCGCCCAGTTTTCAGAGTCGAGTCTTTGAACGTGAAGCAGTTATATTTGGATCTGAGGTCAGGGAAGACTCCTGGAAGTTTGGGAAATGTTTGAAATGTGTCCATTATTGGGCTGAAAAGAGTCGGACGGTGTTTGTTGCTGTGATTGATCTGCCGCCTCGAGTCCCCCTGCGTGATCACGGCTCGGGGCAAAGCATTGTGGGACGGCGATGTGACCTGTCGTGTCCTGTTTGTGTTGTGATTCCAGAACACGTGACGTCTAACGCCAGCGATAGTGAGAGTAGCTACCGTAAGTGCCGCTCGATGACTCGCAGGAAACACTAACGATCGGCGCGACCTGTCACTGAACCCGCTAACTCCCTCACTGACGCCGTTAACAAGCACAGACTGCCGATTGGCCAGTAACAGCATGACCTCACACCCTCACAGTCTGCCCCTCCCCCCGCTGCTGCATGGACGCTGCCGCCTCGCAGAGAGCGACTCTCTCAGCCGCACCGCACACCGAGCATGTCGGCACAGTTCACTGATTTCATGAAGCCACTCTAAAAATATTCCACCTTAAAACTGGAAACCAGAAACGCACAGCATCACCTGTAACCCAGCGAGCGCTGCAGACTCGGGTGATGTTGTGAGAGCACTGTTATGAACCATTAACGGTTAAAAACGAGCTCAGCGAGCAAACCCGATCAGAGATAAAGGCTCCTTTAAACATGGAATCGGATCAATCTGAAGCAGCACAGCAGTGGGAGTGAAAGCCCGCAGGCTGAGCTGTGACTGCAGCAGAAAACCTCCGATACCCCGAAAATAAAGATGAGGCACAGGTGTAGAACGCCAGGCCTCGAGGTGTCCTGCAGGTTTTAGGTATCACCTGAATCCAGTGATTACTTCATGACCAGGCCTCTGGAGAACTTCAAGACATGTTGAGGAGGTCATTCAGCCATTTAGATCAGCTGTGATGGATCGAGGACACGTCTGAAACCTGCAGGACTCCGGCTCTCTGGGCCTGGAGTTCCCCGCCACTGACATAAGGTGACCGCGGCTCACACAGCTCAGATTAAACAAGCCTGAGTATGTGAGGAGTCGCGGCGTTTGTGCATGCTGAAAATTGGATCGTGAGCTGTTAGACGTGCAGACGTCAAAGTCGGCGTCGTCTCCGATTCCAGAGCCGTAACTGAAACTGTTTAAACGCTTTCTGCTCCCGTCGCCGTTCTCTAACGGGAGAATTTTAGTTCCTGAGCACACTCATGTAATCCCGCAGGTTCAGACCCCGCCTACTAACCAACCTCAGTAGATCCCATCCTCCCTCCTCTCCTCCGTCTCGCCTCCTCTTCACCTTCATCACACCTCACTCCCGTCTGAGCTCCGGACGCTGAAACTAACCGACCTCTGTGTCTCCAGGTGGGCAGGAGGAGTACGTGCTGTCCTACGAGCCCGTCGTTCAGCAGGAAGGTGAGACATCTCTGTGTTCGCTTTTTTAAAGTAATCTGATTACCACAGGCAGCACTCAGGTGTTCCTGCATATTCGACATGCTTCGATTCTGTCCCACAGTGAACTACACCCGCCCCGTCATCATCCTCGGCCCCATGAAGGACCGCATCAACGACGACCTGATCTCAGAGTTCCCCGACAAGTTCGGATCCTGCGTCCCTCGTAAGTCCGCCGAACGCCTGTAAACAGAGGCTGCGTTGTACGCTCGTGTCACCTGATGTTTAATGCTGACCCCGCCCGCAGACACGACCCGGCCGAAGCGGGACTACGAGGTGGACGGCAGAGACTATCACTTCGTGATCTCCAGAGAGCAGATGGAGAAGGACATCCAGGACCACAAGTTCATCGAGGCGGGGCAATACAACAACCACCTGTACGGGACCAGCGTGCAGTCGGTCCGGGAGGTGGCGGAGAAGGTAATGGCGACACGCCCCTTTAACCTTTAACCCCGCTCTGACCTCATTCAAGCGGCGGCGTGTGGTTTGAGATGTTCTCCTGCTGTTTTCAGGGCAAACACTGCATCCTGGACGTGTCAGGTAACGCCATCAAGAGACTCCAGCTGGCTCAGCTCCACCCCATCGCCATCTTCATCAAACCCAAATCTGTGGAGAACATCATGTGAGTCACTTCACAGGAAACGCCTCCACTCAGTTCTCCCACACAAGCGTGAAGGTGACGTGGTTTTTCTCTGCAGGGAGATGAACAAGCGTCTGACGGAGGAGCAGGGCAAGAAGACCTTCGACCGAGCGAACAAGCTGGAGCAGGAGTTCACCGAGCATTTCACAGGTGAGTGCCCTGGCTCCACCCGCCTCAGCTCAGGTGATTCTCCACCCGCGCCGTCGAAACCACGTTACAGTCTCGCATGTGGTTCCTCTCTGCCCCCTGCTGGTCACGTGCTGGAGCTGCACCTCAACGTTAGTGCAGCAGACGGGAGGAAATGACGATTCTTTGTTTGAGACGTGACGTTTTAAATTTGGCTGATCTCCTCTTCGAGGTCGTGTCCTCGTGCACCTCTGCGAGCGTGCATCCTGATGGATGTTCCTCACGCAGACTGGCGCTATACCACCCTGCCGGGACCTTTAATAACGAGCAGAAATGGCGCCGCCTTATCAGAGAGCAGGAAGTCCGAGAAATGAGCTCGAAGGATCGATCAGCCAGGTTTAAATACGTTGGTAGTTTTATTTTTATGGGCGGAGCTTTTAAACTTCGAGATGAAAGGAGTGTTTTGATTGGTTTCAGACACAAGCAGCGCTCTGACACGTCCACAGCACTAATGACATCACAGCTGATGCAACAAGAGGCACCAATCATAACTTTATTTACCAACATTTAAAAACGATAATAAACGTCAGCGGAGTCGGAATGAGTGATGTACAGGTGGGCTGTGCCCGTCTTTGATGATGTCACGCGCTCGCCGCTGACTCTGCTCTGTGTGTGTGCAGCCATCGTGCAGGGCGACACGCTGGAGGAGATCTACGACCAGGTGAAGCAGATCATCGAGGAGCAGTCGGGTCCCTTCATCTGGGTTCAGTCCAAGGAGAAGTTATGAAGACGGCCGCTCCTCCTCCTCGTTTTGACGGACGAGTCGACCTGCAGACGTCCCCTCCCCCACGCCTCACCCTCCACTCGCCCCATCAGCGACGCAACGGCCGACCCGAGTTCAGTTTAGCTTCTTTTCTTTCTTTCTTTGCCTGATAAGACTTCATGTTTGGGTTTCCTGACCAGCAGAGCAAAGCACACAGGAAGTTTGATGACATCACACTCACCGCGGTACAGCTCCTTAATGTTTAAGGGAGGAGAACTTTAGAGGAGACGAGGAAGGTACCTGGAAGTGACGAGAAGAAACGTACGAAGTGGATTTTATGTTTAGTTTTTTCTTTGTGGGTTTTTTTCCCTTTTTTTGTCTTGTAAGGTAAGCTGGTGGGCGGAGTTTCAGTCTCAGGCAGCGTCTGTCGGTCCGGAGGAGGCGGAGACACAAAAAGCAAAACTTTGCACGTTTGAGCTTTAACAGCATGTCAGTTAATCCCGTTTATTTTCCCATCAGCCCCGTCGCCTCACGTCTGATGTCACCGCTTTTCTCTTCTGCTCGTTTTTTAGACTCTACTCACGTTTCGTTTGTTTTTTATTTTCGCTCCTCGCTGCTGCTGGATGTTCGTCAGGACGCTGCGAGGTTCCTGCTCTGCTGCTAGAGGGCGCCGCAAGGCTTAACGAAGGAAAACGACAGTTTCTTTACTTTGTTTTTAGAGGAAACGGTTTTAACATTTATAATTTTCTGTCAATGAGAAAGAATCTGACAGATTTTCTGATTTCAGGGATGAAAAAATAAAAGCTCTGATGTTTCTGCAGACGTCGAATCGTTTCTCACCAAACCACCGAGACAGAGACAGAAAAATATAAATATTTTTATAGATGAAAATAAGCTGAGTGCAATCATCAAAAATTATAAATCATATCTATAAAAAACATTTTATTCATTAACGTGTTTAATTTCACTAAAACACCAAATGCAACACAGAAATCCCCAAATATGTTTATTTTATTACCAGAAAAATCTCAATATTAGAAATAACAAAAGAATCTAATAAAATCAAACTATTTTATTTTACTAAAGAAAATTATCTCAGAATTTTATGAAACTCTGATTATGCCAAATATGGTTTATGATAAAATCTAATTTAAAATAATTAAATATTAAAATCAAGAAAAATGCAACAAACATTTTCCGCCTGTTACACAAACTGCTCATAATTAATAAACAGATTTTTATGAAAGATCCAGAACAGCAAGGAAAAAATAATCTAATACAAAAAGAATTTGAATCACCAGAAAATGCAAAACAAATTAAAATTGTTTTAACATAAATGAATTTAGAA